TCATCTCGCTCGGGCTATTCCAGGAAAAACTCTAGATTTGGGTCTCCCGGATCAGAGATGATGGCACATTGTGCTGTTCTCCCTCATGGGGGCATCGTTTTGGAGCGGGTGCTGACTGGAGGGGCTCTGAGGTGGAGCGGTGTTACATCTTCCGCATCGAGGACGACGGATCTCGGCGGCGTGGCACAAAGGAGTCTCGGCATCAGATGCGTGTAGATGGACTCGCGCAGGAGGATGGAGATGTCTGGCGTCGCGGTGACGTCGACGACAGAGAGCCCTGGCAAGGTCGACATATTGATCCCTCTTAAAGATGGGACAGCGAAAGATGGCGGTGGCAGGTCCTAGAGTGTGCGCATGCGGTGCACACTGAGAATGCACCAGGCCGGTGTGTGACCCAGACCCGGCAATTCGGCTTGGTTGGGGCCTCCGGCTTTAGCTATTGGCCTTTGGAGCGAGGTCTGGGTATGCGGCCCTGACAATCTGCACCCCTTCATCAACGGGATATGAGTAGTGACAGATATTTCCAAGTTGGTGGCTTCAAACTTATTAATGTATTACTTTGCAAGGTCTTAGTGAATAATTAATAAAATGGCTTCATGCATCGCCTTTTATCTAGAGGTCGGGGTCATCCTTCTTTTCAAAAAAATCTAAAGTCAAGAGCAATATGCCAATACACCATCACTTAGCACAAAAGCATATACTCGCTCAGTTTCTAAATATAAGCCCATATGGATGTATATAGACATATTTAAGAGTGTAGATTCACTCATTTTGCTCCATATGTAGTCCATATTGAAATCTCTAAAAAGCCTTATATTTAGGAACGGAGGGAGTACTACTCACTACTCAGGGCACAAATAGTAAAACTACACTGGAACAAACCACCAATGCTGCATGGATGACATAGGCAGAGATCCCTAAATGAGATTTTTCATTAGAGTAGTAAAAACATGTCCTAGGAATATATTGGCTAGCTAGCAAACACAGCATATATGATGTTCAGTAATGGTTGTTACATGCTGGATCTGCTGAATGTTCTGCTGTGAACGGATAGTCTGAAAATTCTCACAGATTCCCCTACGGACGAGATACAGTAAGTTGATCGCGAAACACCATCAAACGATGACTCCTGCAAATTTTTCCCAAAATGAGAGTCTAATTGATCACAGAGCAGCATCGACTAGTTTTGAGAAACCTGAAAAGAAAATAAGAAACATTAGACGCATTAGGCACATAGAATGAACATGTCAGGAGAATGAGTGATATGGATAAACAGCAAGACGAAATTCAGTAAACCGAACCGAAATGCTACTATAGTTAGTCCATCAATGCGTATTTCTAAAAGTGAAATAAGATAGTGATATATCATCTGGATAACACGTTTATTTTCAATCCAAGGCTTGGCTGTAGAAAATTACATCACGATCGATTTTAAGAAACATCAAGCCTCAGTTTCGGGCTTTAATCAATTAGTATTTCAGAAAAGGAAAAACAATGGTGGCCATCATATCATCATTTGTTTTTATCAGTTTTCAGAAATGAAAGCTGGGAGCGATGCTCCTTAAGTCGAAAAAAATGGTGGGCATCATGATGACAAGGCTAGATATCCTTGAGATTCTAATACAGTGATATCCTTCAGATTCTAATACAGTGGTCACCAGACAAAGAAGGCTAGGCATCCTTTCTCCCTTCTAGTTCAGAAACACTAATACACCTGAATGAAGGGATGGAATATCCATGCTGACACACCAACCCATAAATTTTGGCAGCCTGGCAAGCAGCTGCCAGAAGAATATGATTGGAAGAACAATTTCAGGTAGCACATAATAATTATTCTAAGAAGTAAATATGTTACTAGGTTGCACTAAAACATCAACTTGAACACAACCAAATAGAAGCTGGTTTTAAGGGTAGCGATATGTTGGAAAATACACACGAAACCAGTTGAAGATAATCGTTGTAATTGGCAAAAAGATGCATACTCTTTGTTTTTCCAATCCATAAACTGCATGGATTGAGTAAGAGATGCAACCCCAAAGAATGCAGCATACAACAAATGTGAATGGATGAGAGACAACAAGAAGCATGAGCTAACATAAAGTAAAGAGAGATCATTAGCTGGTAAATTGGCACCTTAGTCTCTTCTACGGGATTTTAGAGCGAACCAGGACGTCTGACAAAGTCTTGTTAGTCTCAGGGTCCTTCTTGCCTGAAAAGAGTTAACTTGATCAATGAACAAGAATTTGAACAGCAGAAACAACACTAACACAATAGAATTTAGAACATTATAGATTTATGTGCATTGTATACAAGAATTAAAGTGGCAGAAAAAATGATAGTTAGAGCAGGTTCTGAAGAATTCAGCACTGTACCCATAAGTGAACTGATAGCACAACAATAGAGGAAGGTAGCAACTGAGTAGTGTAGAGGAATTATTAAAAGGATACACCACATTTAAATCCTTAAGTTACCTTCTAAAATCGAATTATGGAGATATGGAAACATTTGGTAGAACATACAGTGTACAGTGTACCATCAAAGCAACAAAAACCTTGCAAATTTTCTGTTCAAAAGCTAAATAACTCACACGGCCGTGAATATGTTTCAAGGAAAATTCTTATGACCAGGAAAACAGGTAGAGAGAAGCATTATGTAAAGAGAAACATATTCACGGCCGTGTGAGTTATTTGTAGTCAGATGATCATGTAAAGAGAAGCATTATGTCTACTGGACTACCCCCACATTATGATCAACAGATCCTAGGATACACAAAATAAATTCTGTCAAAGATGATCCACAAAGCAACTCAATCATTACGCATCTTAAACTGAAACAGAAACTGAGAAGTATGTAATCTAGCAATTGAACGAGCAAGTGACTACCTGCAGAAGGGACCTGGCTCGATCCAAGCCATGGTGGAAGAACACATGGTAGTATATAGGAGACGTCGGTTTCATATAGAGATCTCCCAATCACCTCTTTCCTGTCCATGTCCACGACGACAAGGACTTCCTTGCCAACCGTGAGGTACACCACATGGGCGTTAAGTGGGTCAAGAAGGCCAATTTGTGGCGTCTTCCCCTCCGGTATGTGTAGCCATGGGTAGCCTCCACCCGCCCGGAGCTCGCTGAGCGCCACCCGGCGCTCCAGCGTCCGGCCGCTGCCATCGTTGTCCAGCACGAAGGAGCTGAGAAGAAATGGTTCCTTTTGAGAGACCTCAACGTACCGCAGCCGCCCTTCGCTGACACCCACGCGCCGGTACCTGACGGGCGCCTCTCTCCACCACACGTTGCCCTCAGCGTCAGGCAGCATGCAGGCTCCCTCGGCGGAGCGCTTCGACCTGCGCACCTTCAGGCAGCACGCTGCCACTCGGCAGCTCGACGAAGGAGAGCTCCGGCCGATCGCTGAACGGGTCGGCGGAGAATGCGCCCCAGGTCACGTCGACCCACCAGAGCCGACCGCGGAATACCACCGCCTCCTGGTTATCTCCATTTGCCGCGCAGACGGGAGTTGGCACGGCGAGACCGCAACGTTCTCCCACTTGCCTTTCTCCGAGAGAAACCGGAGCATGCGGTTCCCCTCCTGCAGGTCGGCGACGGCGAACCTGTCAGGCGGCCCGTGCCCGCGATCGGCTTGAGTGAGGAGGCCCAGGTGGCGGCCGAGCACAGGGTTGCGGGCGATGTCCGGGACCGGGAGGCGGGATAGCTGGTGCGTGAGAGGGTTGAAGACGAAGCGCGCCATGGCGGGGACGTGGGTGGGGTCCATGCCGATGGGCGGCTGCCGCAGCCGCTCGGCGCCCTGCTTGGCGAGGATGGGAGCCACGAAGCGCAGGTTTGAGAAGGTGAGGAGGAGGAGGCCGTCGCCGCTCGCGGCACATACCTCGCCGCCGACCACCTGCGCGACGTCGCTGTCGGGGTCGGGGAAGTCGCCGGTATAGACGAGGTGCTCTGGGACGTACAGTTGGGAGACGCGCGGCGGGTGATAGAGGTACACCCCCGCGCTCGGCGCTCCGGCGGGCGCCGACGCCGTGGTGCCCATCACGGCCCACGGGGGATGCGAGGCGGCGGTGGTGAGGGAGCGGCGGAGGCCGCCGGAGACGGCAGCGGAGCGGCGTAGGAGGCGGCGGAGCGGCATCTCGCTGGCTGTGGGGATTTCCTTGACTGGTCGTGGACCGGTGGTGGGGAAAGCAGCGTGGATTCAGGGAAGTGGCAGGACGGAAAGCAGCGTGTGGTTGTTCCACTGGGTACTGCGCCGTGAGGGCTGATCCTGGCCCACATGTCAGTCATAGAGGGTGCGGTGTGGTGCATGGACCGAGTTCTGTCATATAAATAAATGGTCTTACTGTGCTGCAAAAGCATAGGAGGACAGTATTGAGAGTTTGAACAACTGTTTCCCATTGGCTGGAGCTCTGACGTCAGCATTTCCCGCCAAAATTCTCATGGGCCTGCTGCTGGGTCGATGGCCCATCAAGAACGTGGCAGAACGCTCAGATGTTCAAACTCAATTGCCTCAAAAAAAGTTTGCTAAAAAAAATGCCTCAAAAAAAAAAAGATGTTCAAACTCAATTCCATAAAAAAAAAGTTGTTCAAACTCAAAAGACACAGTGTAACAGAATATCCTCTAGCAGATTGATTTTCCAACAACAGATCTATAAGACGCAATATCATGCATATATGAAGCTAAGCATTACGATGACGTCGTTTCTATCATCGCAGGAGATCCTCCAACTTTACACAACGGAAAACAAACATCACTTCGTCAAAGGCTCAAAGCTGCCGCCTCACAACAGAGTGGGCGGGTAAACAGAGCAAGCATGGTGGTGTTCTCTGATGATCACTACACGCTGATTAAACCACTGGAATGTTCTAGCGTGAACTGGAAGCACTCCCACAAATTTCCCCAAAACGAGACAAGTGCAGCAGCTAACTACAGCAAACCCAAACTTCTCCATGTATTCCCCAAAATGAGAGCTTGGTAAACATCCATCCACCATCGGCTTCCTAGTTGATCAGATGACTTGTATCTGTTGGTTTGAAAAGAGGAAAGAGAAGCATTAGGAGAGCTTGAATATGAAGGAAAAACAATCTAAAATGTATGAGAAAAAAGAAAAGCAACTTTGGTCCATCTATACCCGTTTCCAAGTTCAGTGATATTATATGTAATTTCCTTTCCTTGTCTTTATTGCAGCAGAAATTCACACCATCAGCACTTGCCAATAGATACTGTAAGCTACAGTACTACCTTGCATAGCTTGCTACACCATTAGCACTTGCCAATATATACTCCAGTAGTAAGTAGTTATCTACTACTGATGAAAGAAAATTACACCAACAGCACTGGGGTCGTAAGCAAGCGAGCTTCACTTTCAGGGTACACCAGTTGTCAAAATACATTTTACGGAAAAGAAACATACTTCACATACTGATGAAAAATATCTGCGCACCTTTCAGGCATTTATAAAGTATTCAGTAACACAATGGTCCGGATGATCTTTCAAAAAGAAAAAGTGGTCGGGAACTCGGGATGATGAACAAGGGCACTCTATTATCATCCTATAGGCTCCTATACCTCCATATGCGATGGTATGACCAATATTTAGTTTCACGCTTAATCACTCCTGCTAGTTCAGAAAATACTACTAACAGACTTGGATGAAAGATCCATGCTAAGACGCCAACTCATAGTTTCAGCGTATGGCAAGTTGCTACTACAAGAATGCACAAGTAGAAAAATACAGGTCATCGTAAAAAAAATAGATTCAGGTATCAAACTTCAAACAAAACTAATCGTTTATACAGAATTATCAGTGATGATCAAGGATATGAGAATACGTCTGCATACAAACTGTAGAATGTAAACTAGTTTTGGGCCCCAACGAATATTTCAAGTTCAATGAAACCCTGAGTAGAATTAACCGGAGATAATCAGGTATTCACTATGAAAGATGTCAGTATATTTGACAATGCAGAGAGAACCAGTTGCAAACAGTACTAACTGGCTAAATATGCACAACATTATTTTACAGATTATAAAATGCATGGATTGAGTAACAGAGTATATAATAAGAATGCAGCATCATGGACATGTGAATCGGTATTAGCTAAGGGAAAATACCCAGATATTCGTTAGCTGGTAAATCGGTACTCTTCAGGCCTTCGGGTGTTTGTCTGAACGAACTAGAACATCTGCCAGTCTTGTTTTTCGACAGGTCGTTCTTGCCTAAAAATAAAAGGTTATTTTGGTCAGTGTACAAGATTTCAAACAACAGTCCTAATACTAACACACACAAAATCATAATATTAACAACAGTCCTAATCATAATACTAACAACAGTCCTATACTAACACAGAAAAACATAATACTAACAACAGTCCTAATACTAACACAACAAAAAAGCATAGCAATAAGGATTTCTCTGCATCGCATACAAGAGCTAGACAACTGATACCTAGAGCAGGTTGTCAAGAATTCAGTACAGCATGGCATAAGCCATGACAAGATGACAATCAGAGGAATACATTTATTATGCATAGGTGATTAAATGGATACAAAATCCTTAAGGAGCCTTCTGCCCTTCTAAAACTGCATTGCATAGAGAGAAATAAATATAGTACATGTTGTAAATTAGAAAACCATAGACAGGAGATAACTCTAATCAGGTTTTAGACAGGATTCTAACTTGGAACAAATCACCAAAATAGGCTGCTGCTACTTCGCTGCGTTAACTAGCAGTCAACTAATGATAACAAGCAGAAGAGAAGATATACACAAATTCAATTGTTTTAGATCAAAACTATTGAGAAATCCTCACAATAATGAACACGATTTTTAAAATAGTTTCAGAAAAGAAATAAACAGCTGATCATTATAGGATTAACCTACGCTACAAATAGCCCTAAAATTAGTTGATCATTATAGGATTAACCTACGCTACAAATAGCCCTAAAATTAGTTGTTTTTAGAAGCTAAATACTCATACTACTGCATACATGTTTCAAAATAAATTTTCTCTTGACCACGGCAAAATCTGACATGATTAGAAAACCAATATAGGCCGAAATGCTTGAAGAAAAATGTTGACAAACTGCAGGCATGCTCAATAACACAACCAATGTGGCACACAAGGGGCCAAACACACATGACTTAAACTAAACACATATGTAGAGTCTCACAAAGACATTAATCGTGTACTTAGATAGACATCATTGTATTGTAACTAAAGAGAAATGTGCGAGACTGTGATCACCTGGAATCGAGCTTGATCCGAGAAATGAGGGGAGCACACATGGCAGAACGAAGCTTGAGTTGCACTTGCTTGGATGAACACCGCCACCACCTAATGTCATAGACTCAATCGGTGTCTTTGAGCGCATGTCCACGCCTAAACATAATGCTTTGGCCACAGGCACAGAGAGATCCACGCTTAAACATGATGCCTTGCCCACAAGCACGGTGAAATACAGCGAGTCGGGGTCGAGTGGATCAATGGCAGCAATCAAAGGCGTCGCCTTGGCATCGGAATAGAGAGTTCTCCACGACACCTGATGCTCCAGTGTCCAGCGGCCACTCTCGCCGTCCAGCTTGAACGACTTGATGCGGAAGGGCTCGTCCTCAGAAACCTCGACAAACCGCAGCCTGCCGTCGCTGACCCCCATGCGCCTGTGTAGGAGGAGCTGCCACATCTCTATAGCGCTCTGTTGGTTAGGAAGCATGCTGCCTCCTGGCAGCTCGACGGGGCAGAGCTCAGGCCGGTCGCTGAACGGATCGACGTGGACGGCGCCCCAGCTCACGTCCACCCACCAGAGCCGGCCCCCGAAGTCCAGCACCTCGTGGTTCATGTGCATCCGGCGCCCAGGCGGCAGCGGGGACGGCAGCACCAACTCGTCCCACTTTCCTGTCTCTGAAGTGAGCCGGCGCAACAGGAATCGGCGTCCGCGGTCGACCACGCTGAGCTGCGCTGCGGCGTACCTCTTGGGCGGCCCGTGCCCGCCGTCGGCGTGGGTGAGGAGGCCCGTGGACGCGGCGAAGGCGTCCTCCGTGCCGTCGAAGTCCGGGAGGCGAGCCATCTCGCCGGTGACGGGGTTGCAGACGAAGCGGGCCAGCCTCATCGGGTCGGAGCAGCACCAGCGCTCGTACACCTGGTCGAGGACCTCGAACGGGACGGCGGACGGGGCCCGGCCTTCGAACATTTCGAAGGCGTTGGCGCGGTTCTTGTAGGCGCCGAGCAGGAGGAGGCCGTGGCCGCTCGCGGCGAGGACGCTGCTGCCGAAGACGTTGATGAAGCGGCGGTCGGCGGGCGGGAGGGCGTCCAGAGCGAAGGCCCGCTTGGGGACGGTGACGCGGGAGGGGAGCGGGGGCGGGGCGAGCGACAGGGACGCGCCCCGCGCCGATTCCTCCGCCGTCGAGATCCGGTAGACCATCGCCCAGGCGGGGCGCGACGCGGCGGTGGAGAGGGAGCGGCGTAGGGGGGGCGAGAGGCGACGGAGCGGGAGCGGCATCTCGCCGGAGGAGTCGGCGGTGGTCGATTTGGTGGTGGAACTGTAGCTAGCGAGCGAGGGGTGCGTGAGGTGGCGGTGGAATCGGAGAGAGAAGCCGAGGAGGGGGTCGGCTCGCTGGCTGGCTCACATGGACCCGGTTCATTCAGCTCCGCGAAAAGGCTCTTCCCCATGTGCTCAGCATGGACCCTACCTGTCGGTGGGACAGTATATTGGTCGATCTTTTGTTTTTCGAGGGTCCGCCAATTGCGTCAAAAGAGCAAAATATTTACAAGAGACCCGCGATCGATGCGAACATTAATCGACTGAACACTCACACCGACCGAACCTCATACATCAACATCTCACAAATCTATCTAGTCCACCCACACCCACTCCTGCTCGCTTCCAGTCGAGGACGTCTTCTAGGATCCATCTGGCTAGCTCTCTCGGCCCTTTGCATTGTTGTGGCCGATTAAACACTCTAGCATTCCGTTGCTTCCACAAGGACCATGCCACTTCGATGACTAACGAGTCAAACCCTCTTCTATCCTTCCCCTGAAAATCTGTTCTCGTTCTGAGCCACCACGTAACCCAAGTATCCTCAGTACCTGGTGCGTGGGTGTTTAACTGCAATATGTCAAAGCATGTGTGGCACACCTTCCTCGCATGTATGGAGTGTTTTCGGTAAAATCCATGTATTTGGATATTATCAACTCGGCCTCTGCTACGTCTTGAGCTTGCGTTGGTTTTTCTCGAAGAGGAGAGGGTGATGCAGCAAGTGTAGCGTAAGTATTTTCCTCAGTTTTGAGAACCAAGGTATCAATCCAGTAGGAGGCTCCTCAAAAGTCCCACGCACCTACACAAACAAACTGAGAACTCGCAACCAACGCAATAAAGGGGGTTGTCAATCCCTTCACGACCACTTGCAAAAGTGAGATCTAATAAAGATAGTATGATATATTTTTGGTATTTTATAATATAGATGCAAAAAGTAAAGATGCAAATAAAAGTAGATTGAAACCAATATGATAAGAGATAGACCCGAGGGTCATAGGTTTCACTAGAGGCTTCTCTCAAGATAGCATAAGTATTACGGTGGGTGAACAAATTACTGTCGAGCAATTGATAGAAAAGCGCATAGTTATGAGATTATCTAGGCATGATCATGTATATAGGCATCACGTCCATAACAAGTAGACCGACTCCTGCCTGCATCTACTACTATTACTCCACACATCGACCGACTCCTGCCTGCATCTAGAGTATTAAGTTCATAAGAATAGAGCAACGCATTAAGCAAGATGACATGATGTAGAGGGATAAACTCATGCAATATGTTATAAACCCCATCTTGTTATTCTCGATGACAACAATACAATACGTGCCTTGCAACCCTTTTTGTCACTGGGTAAGGACACCGCAAGATTGAACTAAAAGCTAAGCACTTCTCCCATGGCAAGAAAGACCAATCTAGTAGGCCAAACCAAACTGATAATTCGAAGAGACTTGCAAAGATAACGCAATCATACATAAAAGAATTCAGAGAAGATTCAAATATTATTCATAGATAAACTTGATCATAAACCCACAATTCATCGGATCTCGACAAACACACCGCAAAAAGAGTTTACATCGAATAGATCTCCACAAGAGAGGGGGAGAACATTGTATTGAGATCCAAAAAGAGAGAAGAAGCTATCTAGCTAATAACTATGGACCCGTAGGTCTGTGGTAAACTACTCACAACTCATCGGAGGGGCAAGGATGTTGATGTAGAGGCCCTCCGTGGTTGATTCCCCCTCCGGCAGAGTGTCGGCGAAGGCTCCAAGATGGGATCTCGCGGATACAGAAGGTTACGGTGGTGGAAATTGTGTTCCGTGGTGCCCCTGGATGTTTTCGGGGTACGTAGGTATATATAGGAGGAAGAAGTACGCCGGTGGCCGCCCGAGGGGCCGACGAGACAAGGGGGCGCGCCCTACAGGGGGGCGGCCTCCTATCTTGTGGCTTCCTTGGAAGCTTCTTGACTTGCACTCCAAGCTCTCCGGATCACGTTCGTTTCAAAAATCACGCTCCCGAAGGTTTCATTCCGTTTGGACTCCGTTTGATATTCCTTTTCTTCGAAATACTAAAATAGGCAAAAAAAAACAGCAATATAGGTTGGGCCTCCGGTTAGTAGGTTAGTCCCAAAAATGATATAAATGTGTAAAATAAAGCCCATAAACATCCAAAAGGGGTAATATAATAGCATGGAACAATCAAAAATTATAGATACGTTGGAGACGTATCAAGCATCCCAAGCTTAATTCCTGCTCATCCTCTAGTAGGTAAATGATAAAAAGAAATTTTTGATGTGGAATGCTACCTAGCATATTTCATAATGTAATTTTCTTTATTGTGGCATGAATGTTCGGATCCAAAAGATACAAAATAAAAGTTTATATTGACATAAGAAATAGTAATACTTCAAGCATACTAATCAAAGTAATCATGTCTTCTCAAAATAACATGGCTAAAGAAAGTTATCCCTACAAAATCATATAGTCTGGCTGTTGCTCTATCTTCATCGCACAAAGTATTTAATCATGCACAACCCCGATGACAAGCCAAGCAATTGTTTCATACTTTAATAATCTCAAACCTTTTCAACTTTCACGCAATACATGAGCGTGAGCCATGGACATAGCACTATATGTGGAATAGAATGGTGGTTGTGGAGAAAACAAAAAAGGAGAAGATAGTCTCACATCAACTAGGCGTATCAACGGGCTATGGAGATGCCCATTAATAGATATCAATGTGAGTGTGTAGGGATTGCCATGCAACGGATGCACTAGAGCTATAAATATATGAAAGCTCAACAAAAGAAACTAAGTGGGGTGCATCCAACTTGCTTGCTCACGAAGACATAAGGCACTTTTGAGGAAGCCCATCATTGGAATATACAAGCCAAGTTCTATAATGAAAAATTCCCACTAGTATATGAAAGTGACAACATATGAGACTCTCTAACATGAAGATCAAGGTGCTATTTTGAAGCACAAGTGTGGAAAAAGAGATAGTAGCACTGTCCCTTCTCTCTTTTTCTCTCATTTTATTTTTTCTTTTCTTCTTTCTTTTTTTTTCTTTTCTTTTTCTTTTTTTCTTTTCTTTGGCCTTTTTTTTCTTTTTGACCTTTTTTTTCTAAAGTCCGAAGTCTCATCCCGACTTTGGGGAATCATATTCTTCATCATCCTTTCCTCACTAGGACAATGCTCTAATAATGAAGATCATCACACTTTTATGGATTTACAACTCAAAGCTAGAACAAGATATAACTCTATATGAATGCCTCCTGCGGTGTACCGGGAGATGCGATGAATCAAGAGCGACATGTATAAAAATTATGAAGTGGCCTTGCCACAAATATAATGTCAACTACATGATCATGCAAAAAGCAATATGACAAAAGTAATGCGTGTCATATGAACGGAATGGTGGAAAGTTGCATGGCAATATATCTCGGAATGGCTATGGAAATGCCATAATAGGTAGGTATGGTGGCTGTTTTGTGGAAGGAGTATGGTGGGTATATGGTACCGGCGAAAGTTGCGCGGTACAAGAGAGGCTAGCAATGGTGGAAGGGTGAAAGGGTGCGTATAATCCATGGACTCAACATTAATCAAAAGAACTCATATACTTGTTGCAAAAATTTAGAAGTCATCAAAAACCAAAGCACTACACGCATGCTCCTAGGGGGATAGATTGGTAGGAAAAGACCATCGCTCGTCCCCGACCGCCACTCATAAGGAAGACAATCAATAAATAAAATTGTGCTCCAACTTCATCACAAAGCGGTTCACCATACGTGCATGCTACGGGAATCACAAACTTCAACACAAGCATTGTTTAAATTCATAATCACCCAACTAGAATGACTTTAATATCACTACCTCCATATCTCAAAACAATTATCGAGTATCAAGTTGATCATAGCATCCAATTCACTTTCTATGATAATTTTTATTATATCCAACTTGGATGCTCATCATTCTAGGACCAACTTTAAAACCATAGCAAATACCATGTTGTTCTAAAAGACTCTCAAAATGATATAATTGAAGCATGAGAGACTAGAAATTTCTTCAAAATTAAGACACCACCGTGCTCTAAAAGATATAAGTGAAGCACTAAAGCAAAAACTATCAAGCTCAAAAGATATAAGTGAAGCACATAGAGTATTCTAGCAAATTCTAATCAAATAGGCTTCTCCCAAAAGGTGTGTACAGCAAGAATGATTGTGGTAAACTAAAAAGCAAAGACTAATATAATGCACGATGCTCCAAGCAAAACACATATCATGTGGCGAATAAAAATATAGCTCCAAGTAAAGTTACCAATGAACGATGACGAAAGAGGGGATGCCTTCCCGGGGCATCCCCAAGCTTAGGCTTTTGGATATTCTTGAATATCTTGGGGTGCCTTGGGCATCCCCAAGCTTAGGCTCTTGCCACCCTTTATCCCATATTCCATAAAAGTTTTACCCAAAACTTGAAAACTTCACAACACAAAACTCAACAGGAAATCTTATAAGCTCCGTTAGTGAAAGAAAACAAAACCACCACATAAGGTACTGCAATGAACTCATTATTTATTTAATTTGGTGTTAAACCTATTGTATTCCAACTTCCTTATGGTTTATAAACTAATTTACTAGCCATAGATGCATTGAAATAAGCAAACAACACACGAAAAACAGAATCTGTCAAAAACAGAACAGTCTGTAGCAATCTGTAACTAACGCAAACTTCTGGAACTCTAAAAATCCTACCAAAATAGTAAGTCCTGGAAAATTTGTTTATTTAACAGCAGCAAAAATAATCAATGCAAAATCATGTTCCTGTGATTTAACAAAATTATATTCGTGCGCTCTAAGTTTCTGTTTTTCAGCAGAATCAAGTCAACTATCATCTTAGGTTATCCTATAGGTTCTACTTGGCACAAACACTAATTAAAAGATAAAAACACATCTAAATAGAAGGTAG